GGAATCACAGGAATTTTATTTAGCCTGAAAAATATGTGGGAGTCCGGTTAGGAAGCTGCACGGAGAGCAGGGTGGGCTGGACTCTGGCGGGTAAAGGTGGGAAGAGAAGCAGCCGGCCGCCTCCCTTTTATGCTTTAACAGGGTTAGCATGTTAGCAGCTAGCTCAGAGGAGCTAACACACTCAGACACACACACAGCTGGCTCCCATTAGGCTGCTGAGGTTTGGAGACAGAGGGGCGGGGGGGGGCTGTAGGATGGACCGATGCAAAGAAAGGGAAGGGAAGCATGACTCAAAGACCAGTTTCTTCTTCCCCCATCTGCTCAGAAAGTACCAAACCATCATTCTGCGGAATAAAGGCGTGTTTGCATGAGCTAAAGGCCAAAAGACGACATGTTTGAGGCTCGCTGTGAGTTCGTTTACCAGCTTTTAAATAGTTCAAATGAAACATCCATTTAATTCCCTCCATCTGAAACATCACTGAGGAGGAAGATCATTTAGGTGCTTTTCTAAAGCAGGAAGTCTAAAATGATCCACAGCTCTGAGTTCCAGCTTTTAGTCGACTGGTTTCAGAACATCAGCACAAAGTTTCCTTCATTTCTGGATGCTGGAACAGAGCTAATTTCCATGAAAGGAAACCTCATTCTGGAGGAAAACCAGCAAAAATCTTAGTTCTCTGGACCCTGGTTTGGATCAGAGGCTCAGATGTTGATGTTTTATCCAGAAAAAGCTCATCATGTGGAGCCATTTCTGTCATTTTAGGCAGTCGGATGGAAGAAAAACGGCTTCAGAACCAGGAAGTAAAACCCGAGGGCAGAGTTGGAGGCACATGGCTGCAGGTTTTACTGCCCACACACAGCAACAAGCTGCCCTCTGAGTTTACTTCATGCCCGGCTGAGCCTCAGCACCACAGCTCAGCTCAGGGGCTGCACAGGGTGTCTCTGCTGGGATCTTCATGTCAGATGAGGCCCCAAAGGGCAGCAGACATGCACAATTAGAGGAGGAGGAGGAAGAGGAGGAGGAGGAGGAAGAGGGCGGCCTCCACTTTCTGCTAATGAACCGCTCTGTGGCCAGGAGCTG